GCGCGCGGACCGCTCTCACCACAGCTCTCTATGGTGCGCCTGTGGCGGGAGGAGCCGGAGTCCTCCCAGGCATCAAAAACACTTAATAAACCCTTTTAAAATCATCCTCAACAGCTGATTTCGGTTGGCGCGCTGCTTTGTGCGCTCCCTATCAGGGAGAACGTCTCAAGACACCTGGTGTGTGGTTGTTTTTTTTATACAACCAGCTCCACGAGTCAAGTTTCTCTGAGGCTCTTCACAAACGAAGAATAAAGTGCTTAGATTTTACGTGTTTGTGGGAGAAAAGTTTAAATTCTAGCTCACCGTAGGAGAAAGTAACCGAAATACAAACATTTCTTGAATAACTATATTATTTTATAATGAAAATAGAGGTTTGTAGGGGCAAGACTCAAGTTTTGTCCTGAACGAGCCTCCCTGGCTGCCAGAAGCCACAAGAAATTTAGCCTGCAAATGCTCTATTTTGGCTTCTTCCGGGAATAAAGCTCGTTGAGGAGCAATTTGGCCACCTTCTCATAGCATCATAGAGAAGCTCGATAGCTCTTGTGCACAGAATAAGCACCCAGGGTGGGATGAAGTGTTTGTCCATGAAGATGGATGGGCACTCTGAACTGCAGCCTGCAGTGGGTTTTACTCTTCTTATTCCTCCCCGTGGAAATGAAACATCTTTTTGTAATAATCACCTGTAGAATAAGGATTTACAGTCTCTCTTGTCGTAGTTCAAAGTCATCCCCAAAGGAAAATGCTCACAGAAATCAGGTCACTTGTGTACAATTCCCACATCCACCAAAATCATATATATAGAAGAAGGCAATTTAAAACCCACCACCACCCTGCCTTACCCACCATGAACACCACGATTATGATCTTCCCTTACATGAAAAACACTCCAGAGTTGCAAAAGTTAAAACGTTTTGACCTTCAAGTGCATGGTGAGAGAAACCAGAGCAGGGTTTCCTACCTGGCAGCCCCATCAGGGAGTGACACACACACTCCCCACCCCTGCAGGCACTTAAAAGATGTGGTGCTTGGGGAACACGGTTTATTGATGGGCTTGGGTTAACAGCTGGACTTGATCTTACAGGTCTTTTCCACCCAAAACCATTCTATGGTTTTTAAATTGTGTTCTGAGGTGGCACCTGCCCCAGTCATGACATGATCCAGCATCACGGGGCTGCCCCTGGAGACCCTAAGGGGACTGATCCTGCTGGTCCTGGGCTGGAAACCTGGGTTTCCTTCTTTGCTCTCTCCTGCCTCAAGTTCAGGGGGTTCAGCCCCTGCTCAGGGGATGCATCACCTGAGCACTTCACCCTGTGGGGACAAGGACACGTTGAGAAAGGCTCATTTCCAGCCCTAGCAAGTTGTGCTTGATTTTTCCAGGACCAGAAGAACAAGGATTTCCACAGAGACAAAAAGCAGCAATAGCTTTGGGCAGTGACCTGAACTGCAGCAAACCACATCCAAATTTCCCTCGTGTCAAATGCTCCCTTCATTTTCTAACTGAACAACAATTTCTAACACACACAGCCCAGAAAAGCAGGTGCACCCCCAGGGGCTAAAAGGCAGCAGAAAGCAGACACAGGGCTCTCATCTGAGGGCAGTTCTGTCCTTTTGAGGAACACGTGGAAAGAAGTGTATCCTGTCATTCCCCCAGGAAGCCTGGTTCTTCATTTTGAGAGCTCATATCAGACAAGAACCTCAGGCAATTGCTTCAAGAGCAGAGAGGATAACAAAAAAAAATGACTCTTTCAAGAGAAATATTACAAGTGTCTGCTCTTGATAAACAAGTTACTCCTTAAAACAAGCACCAGCACCTGCTTTCTTTCAGTAAGTAAAAAAAAATACAGCTTTCAGGAGGTGGCCTCTGCATTTTGTAACACTAACTCCACAGCATTCAGTGAGTTATTACAGATAAAGATCAGATCAAGATTGTCCCAACCTATTTCCAGGGTCTTCGAGGGTTTATATTAACAGACTTGAAAATCAGCTCCCTTAATCTGTAACCAATCTTATGGACTGAGCTGCAGAGGAGCTAAACTAAATGCACTGACACACAGTGTAGCTTCAGAAGATTTATTTTCAGTCCTTGAAGTAGACTAGTGCTGCTTTTGCTCAGAATATTCTCTCCATGACAGTTTTGGTTTTCATGCAAACAGCAGTGAGAACATGTTGGGTTTTATTTATTTAAAAGTGCAGCTTTTGGCAGGAACAATCAGCCCAATCAGAGTTAAATCATCTGCATTTCCTTTAAAAAAAAATTCATTAAACCATGATTTAAAAATAAAAAGTTAAAAACATTTAAGAAAAGGGTGAGGAAAGGGCAGAAAAGCAAACATCTGAGTTCCAGAAATTGTGTTCAGAGCAAGAGCCACTGCAGTGACCAGTGTGGGCAGCTCAGTCCCAGCTACCAGGGGATCCCAGCTCACCCTCCACACTTGCAGCCCTTCCCATTGTGCAGACTCGAGGGCTGATCCATCAGGAAAAGGTACCAAACAACCCCAGGAGACACGGCTGAAACAGGGAGGGAGGATCTGCAGAAACCAGAGGGACAGAGCAGCTGCTCTGGGGGGGCAGAGCCTCACCTGCAGCTGCTCTGGAGGGGACAGAGCCTCACCTGCAGCTGCGCTGGGGGGGCAGAGCCTCACCTGCAGCTGCCCTGGAGGGGCCCAGGGGTTAGTCACTCAGCTTCCTTTCACCTGAAGGGTTAATTTCCCCCTGCAAAAGGCCCAGCAGCAGCTTGTTTCTGCTCTGGGTGGGCAGGACACGCAGCCACCCCCTTGCAGGCTGCGCTGCTGGTCAGATCCAAGCAGGGATTTACCAGGACCAGGGGCCCCAGGGCAGCTTTCATCACCCTGCACTGGGACCTGAGTGCAGGATGGACCCACAGAGCAGCTCTCCTGGCAGCCGTGCCCACCTCCCTGCAGGCAGACCCCCCTGCCCACATCCACCCCAGGCTGCAGCAGTGGCCGCCCAGCTTGTGTTTTGAGAAGGTCAGGAGGGGAAGGACGAGTCCACAGGCAGGAAGCACAGGATGCAGCAGGGAAGGCACTTTCTTAGCAGCCATGAAGCTGCTGTTGGGGGGCTTGGCCAGAGAAGCACTTGATGTCTGGCAGGAAGGCCCTTTAGGAACCTGCCATGACAAGCACAGATCTGAATCCCTACGGGGGGGGGGGGGGGGGAAGAAAGTAGCTCCTTGTTGGAGAAATGCAGGAAGGGCAGAGGAAAGACTGAGATCACAGGGTTGTTTTTTTTTGAGGGGGGTCTCACGTTACACTTGGTGCTTCTAACAAATCAGGTTGGCTAAGAGATGCAGCAGAAAGATGTGAGCTGGGGGGGCTCCAGCTTCCCTTGCTGTTCCTCTAAGGCAGGTTAGTTGAAAACTAGGACTGTCCACAGCAAAGAGTAACAAAGCACAAGTAACCTCTGTCACAGGCCAAAGCAAACAGTGCCAATTTTTCAGGCTGTCCTCTTCAAGGGAGGCTGGCTATGTCTCTCTCAGGAGGTGGACCAGAAGGTCTTGGATTGCTTTCATTGGCTTTTCCTTCAAACATCATGACCCTGCAAAACACAACAGATAATACCAGTGAAAAGAAAAAAAAAAAAAAAAGCAGGTGCATCTTCACTCATCACTGGGGGAGGGATTATCTGCTGAAAAATAGGATCTGCCTTCTATGCAAAGGGTATTGGTAATTACCAGAGGAGGGAAAGCCAGAGGGCAGTGCTGCCAGCCTGGCACACCACTCTGCTTTTCCTGCAGGTTCCAGGAGTGGGTTCCCAAAGCCTCTGCTAGTTTTCCTCTCAGAGCCCAAAGGATTAGCACCTTTTTATTTAGACAGCCACGTCTGAAATCCCCTGGTCACACACTGCACACCGAGTTCCCTTGATGCATAAAAGCAAATATTGTCCCTGGCCCACCTTGTACCTGACACAGCAGAGCATCCAAAAGCCAACACCAAGCAAGCAACAGCACCCCCAGCCAGGAAAGGGGGCAGAGACAAGGAGCAAGGCACTGGCTAAAGGAATCCCAAGCATTTTGCAACCACTAGCACTGTCTTCCTTCCCCCCTGAGGACTGCAGCCAGGCTGGGAATGCCAGCTGCCACACTGGATCAAAGGGCTGCACTGCTCTTGGGACGAGTTTTACATTTCTGCTCCTGCTCTGAACAGAGTCCAACAGACAATGGGGCATCTGTGAGCAAAAGAAGGGACCCATCTGTGAGAGCTGCTGCAGCTGGGAGGAAAGATGGAAGAGAGGGGACAGGCTGTCAGGCTCAGCCTGCTTCTGTGGAGGAAGAAAGGAAGAGCAGGGGTGTCAGAAGTCTGCATGTGCTTGGAAGAGGAGCATCCCAACACACTGACACAGGGCACTCAGTGGGGAGAGGACAGAATCATCACCAGCAAGCACATCCAGGCTTAGAGGGACCCTGGGAGAGGTGGGAGCAAGATCCTTCCTGCCAACCTGCCTTGAAACTTGGCTGCATTTTTAAAGCTGCCTTCAGAAAGGGGCAAGGGGGGATGGAGAGGAGCAGCTCCTATTCATGGTGGTTACAGAGACAAAAGCAGGGCCAGCCTCTGTGGCTCTGAAAAAGGACAAGCCAGGCTTCAACAGGGTGGAGATGGAGCCCAGCAAATGTTGGGAAGCCATTTGTTACAGCAGGACTTTCAGAGCCCTTTCAAGAGGGCAGAGGGGGCCGTGGGAGGCTGGTGCTGGCAGCCTGTACTGCATGAAAACCTCTCCCAGCACAAGCCAGCTGTTTCAAGCTGTCTCCCACCTCCTGTCTCTCCAGAATAAGGCAGGGAGGGACAACCCTGTGGGAAACAGGAGCCAAGGCTGCTGGCATCAGCATGGTGATTCACCAGGCCCTGCCACCATTCACAGGAGGGGCCTGTGTCCCCAAATCCAGCAGGAACCACGAGGAAGAGACAGGAAAAGTCCCTCAGTGCTGAGTGTGTGCACAGCCCTGGGAAAGAGGGAGATGGGCTCTGCACAGAGCCCAGGGAGGAAGGCTCCCTTAGGGAGCTGTGTGCTGGGGCACAGCAGGCAGCTCTGCTGGGAGCACTCACCCCTGCTCAGCCTGTGCCCCTCTCCTGTCTCTCTGCAAACTCCCCCTTCACAAAGGTCCTCATCTCCCCTCCAGGAGCACTGAACATGCACAGCTCCAGCTCCACCAGGCAGAGCAGCTTCTGCTTCCCAGCTCCCCAGCACTCAGCTCAGATCCTGTGTCTCTCCCACTCCCTCCCAGGGACACTCACAGTTTAAGCACAGCAGAGCGTTTCCCAAGCATCACGTTGACAAAGTCCTGGTAAGAGATGGTCTCACTAACCCCTCCAGTCACCTCAGAGATCATCTTCTTCAGTTCTAGGTGGGTCTTTGGAGCACCCATCTTCTCCATCATCCTTTTGACTGACATCAAATCTGCAAGAGCAAAGCAATTGGTGCTATCAAGGTGACGACACTGAGCACAGACCAACCCCCAGGGACACAGGCATGAATTCCCACCTCAGATCATCTCAACTGCAGGCACTGGGGCTGACAGCACTAAGCTATTGCTGAAAGCCAAGAGCAGCCTTCCAGCACTGCCCACTGCTGCACTGCCCAGCACAGAGCATCACTGCCCATTTGTGCAGCTCAAGATAAAAGCAGCATGCATGCAGGAGAGGGACAACTCTCCAAGTGCTCCAGAGACACGTGGGGACACTGTTCTCCAGCTCAAAGCATAGTGCCAAGAATCACAAGGATGAGGAGGAGGGAAACAATGCTGGGGTTAAAGCCAGAGACAACCAGGCTGCAGGGAGCAGGTGCCTCTGCCCGTCGCCACAGGACATTTCCTCCCATTGCTTTGCTGCCCTGCTGGGACCTGTGGCCCCTTCCCTCCAGGAAACAGCAGCACAGCATGAGTCAGGCCTCCTCCAGCTCCCCACAGGCTTTACTTCAGCTCCAGGGCTGGTGGAGGAGGGGAGCAAGGCAGCAGCCTCCTGGAAGGGTGCAGCATGCAAGTGATTACACTTCAGCATCAGCTCCAGGCCTGCAGAAGGCTGGATCTTTACATAACCACTGCTCTCTGGGCCCAAACCAGGGCTGCTCAGCTGAGCCAGACTCACACCCAAGTCCCTTGCTTCACTCCACTCCCTTCCCAGCAAAACAAAGAGCTCCTCTGCACTAGAAGTGCTCATGGTTTTACACAGCTTCTACTTCAGGCCAGGCAAAACCCAGGATTGTCCAAGCCCAGCAGCTTCCTGACTCTGGAAATGCTGAGGATTGAGAAGGCAGCCTCAGTGGGGAGAAAGAGAGAAGAAAAGAAGAGGAAAAGTTAAGCAGAGACTCAGGAAGAGAACAAGACTGAAAGGAGTGTAGATTTTCAAGCAGGCAAGGAGAGACTGGGGAAACTGAGAAGCAGGGGCTGGAGAGTCAGGGATGCCTCTGACTGGCAACTGAGATCCAAGCAAGGCTGGACATGGGAAAAACCCACAGGTTTTCCTCCTCAGCACAGGAAAGCAGCAGACACCACTTCAGCAGCTGCTGCTCTTCCAGCCCAGCACCCCTGAGACACTCACCAATCTCGCCTTGGTTGTTCAGGTCAAACTCCATGTACTTCTCTGGAAGAGACACAGAAGCAAATTAGCAGGGCACTAGAGCAGGGGGTTTGCAGGGCTCTGGAGCACTGCCTGGTCAGAGCCATGGAACAGGAGATTTTGGGAAAAGATTGATGCACTGCTGAATGTAAACAGTTCAGAGAGGGAGATCATCTCCAGACCTGGGTTCAATACCCTCATCCCAATGCCAGAGCTCTCAAATTAAGTGCTCTTTAATTGTGGTTTTCATTTAAGCTGAAGGAAAACACTGGCATGAGAACAAGGTATCAGCTTGTCATCAACTGTGTCAGAAGGTTTCCAGCCAGAAAAACAAAGCTCTGGAACAGCCTCCCAGAAGGAGTAGCAAGGAAAACAAACCCCTGAGCACTCCCCAGATGAAGCTTGATCGGATTAGGAGGGGGATTTAAATGACGTTGCCTGCAATAGCAAGGGACAAACTCTGCAGGGCTCCCAGCCCTGCACTGCCCTCCCAGAGCAGCACCTGCCAGCAGAGATGCCCAAGGGCCAAGCCAAGAACATGCTCAGGAGCAGTTATGCCAGAGCAGGCTGACTGCCCTTCCAGCCTGCTGCCAACCACTGCTGCATGGGGAGCTCCTGCATCCTCAGAGAAAGGCAGAGCCTGCTCAAGAAGGTCTGGGGAGCTTTGCAGGAAGAAAGCTGGCATGGCAGAACACAAAAAGCACTGATTTTGGTTTTGTGCTGCTTCTGACTTTTGGAGTGGCACACCTGTGCTTCCTACCCCCCCTTCCTACCTGTACCTGTTTAGACATTAAGCTCTTCAGGCAAGGATTTGTCTGTCTGGCAGATCATGCAGCTCCAAGCACTGCAGGGGGCTCCCCCATCATCTCAGTTCTGCTAAATGAGAAGAGCAAGATGCCTGCTGCCACCAGCCCTCCAGGCTGAGCTGGAGAAATCCCTGCAGTTAGCACCACTGGCTCCCCAGAACAGCCACGGGGGATGCAAATTAAGTGAGAGCTCTCAGGCTGCTCCTTTTGCCCAAGGGAAAAGACTTGTTGCCTCTGCTCCAGGGCCACCAACAAGCTGATGAGCATGAAGTGGCAGCTCATTTAAGGAGCCCAAGGGAAGAGGGGGTTTCACACGTTGGAGCTTTCTCATGACCTGTGTTTCTGAAGGGCAGTGTTGGGTTATCTGGCCTGATGGGCAGCCCTGGGCAGAGGAATGGCTCAGCAGGTCTCCACCTGGGTCTCAGCTGGTGGATTCCGACTGTCACAAACTGACCAGGACAGACCCCAGGGGGTGCCATGTACAAAACAAAGCTCTTCATGCTTCAGGCAGGAATAAATGTCTCCCTCCAAGCACTAAGCAACACATCCTAGATGACATCGGGGCAGTCACACGTGCCCAGGGACCAAAGCAACGTGTGATGTGGAACTGGCTCCTCTCCCCACACTCTGCCCCATCACAGTCACCTTGTGCAAATGAGCTGCAGTGTCCCAGGGCAGGGCTCAGACACCCCAGCCTGTGCTCAGGGACACAAACCCTGCTCCTCCCATGCCCAGCCCATGTTTTCTTTTTTCCTCAGCTGACACTTGGCCAAACCCAGGGAACAGAGGCAGCTTCACAGCACCCTGCTCTGAGCCTTGGCTCACACACCCATCTTTGCCTCCCACCCCAGCTGCAGGGATTTGGTGGGGCAAAACCACGCCTGGCCCCTGCCCTCACAAATGCACTTACACAAACACTGCACGGGGGCTCCCCAAGCCTGGCTGGGGAGGGCAGGGGGAAGGATGGTAGAGGAGAAACACTCCCCCCCCATCACACAATGAGGTGATTGTTGGAGGAGGCACTGGAGAGTGGGACAGGCCATGGAGGCAAACTCACGAGGCAGCAGGAGGAGATGCCAAGGGCTCTTGTTACAGGGAATTCTGCGCCTGTGACCTGCAGTTGCAGTGTTTGAAGAGCCCCAATTGTGGCAGGAAAAATAATGCAGGGCTGCAGCCAAAAGCCAAAGCCACACAAAAGGCAACAGAAGAAGGATGGGGAGCACAGGAGGCTCCTCTGTCCCCAGCAGGGGAAGGGATCACAAAACTCCAGCCAGATGCTTCCATGCTGGATTGCAAAGCCAAAACTCCAAAGGAAATAGCAATGTCTGAAGTGGAAGCAAAGTCAGGCTTCAGTTGGTTGCAGCCAGGCTGAGGACAAACCTTGAGGACACTGTGACACAGAAGGCATGTTTGCTCAACTGCTTCCAGCCACTGCTTGCAAAGAAAGTGGATGCACCCAGAACAGCCCAGACACATCTTGTTCTGTAACCACTTTGGGAACAAGCTCCAGAGGACTCCAGGCTTTTTTCTCTATCCCCATCCCACCAAATGGCCCAAGCTCTGCTGACCCTCTGGAGTTAGAGAGGCTTTGGCCAGGACTAGACACATTGCTGCTGTTGCTTCTGGTACCAAGGGACTCAGGAAGGACCAGATAAGACTGAAGGAACTTCTGGGGAGAGAAGGGCCACAGCTCCTTTTGGGAACAGCTGAAATCTCTGCTCTGTGGGAAGAGGTCCTCCTACTCACTCTAAAAAAGAGTCCAGCTACTGCATCATCCTTGATACCAACTAGCTTAACTAGGTATCTAGACAGAAACCATCCTCCTTTGCTGCTCCCCAGGGTTTTGCCCACGCAGCAGGTTTTGCAGCCGCCAGGCAGGATGTCTGCAGGGTGACACGTCCCTGCCCTGCAACTGGGGGAAGCACAAAGGCTCATGTGGGAAAAGCACCTCTCCAGGGAGTTTCCCCGAGTCTCACAAGCAAGGGGGAGGCATCCACCCCAGCTCAGTCACTTGCATTTGGCAGACAATCTCAGGCTGGTAAGATCCAAGTGCTGAGGGAAATCTATTCAAAGCAAATAGGCTGAAACAGGACACGGAAACCCTCCAGTTCTCACCTTTGAACACTGCCAACTTCTCCTCCAGATCTTCTTCATCACTGAACTTCGGGTCACAGAGAAATTCCTAAAACAGAAGAAAAAGAAAAAAAAAAAAAAGGATATTCCCCAGGTTAAAAGAGATAAAGGAAAACACCCTAGAGGACATGCACAAATGCAGCATTGCCCAGGAGACCTATGCAATTCCCAGAGAGCCACATCTGAGCAACAGTTCAAGGAGGCTTGGAAAGGGGTTGAATCCCTCCACACCTTGCCATTAACATTGCAGTGCAAGGGAAATGTCTCTGGTATCTCAGGTATCCCACCAACAGCTTGAGGAGAGACTGGACCCCATGTGCTTTTGGATTAACTGCATGAAACCTCCTCTTCTTGCTCACCCAAGGTTTCAAGGTTCCCTCATCTCTGCCGAAGCACACACAGCATGGGGATGAAGCACCTGTTTGCACCAAGGGCTCTTATGCCTTGCAAAAACACTCTGATCTCAGAGATTTTGAACTCTTGGGTAACTCTGAGGGCTAGCAAACAGAACAGGCAAAGTTTGCAGAACATCAAGCACCAAGAAAGAGCAGGTATTTTAGGGGAAGGAGCAGGTTCTTGCTCTCAAACGGCCTATCCAGTTCTCCTCCTGTGCTGCTCAGGCTGGAGAGGAAATCCTGGGTCAGTTCTGGTCACTCGTCCCCAGCCTCACCTCAAGAAACCTTCAGGTACTCGAGAGAACAGACCACAACTTGCCCAGCCAGCTCTACTACAAAGCCCTGCCAGCAACACCCCCCAGAGCTGGGAGCAGCAGGGTCTTGCTCCTGTCCCTGCCCTCCCACACTGCCTGCTCCAGCCAGCCCAGCACAGCTCACTGACTGTGTTCAGCAACAACACCACATTCTTCAGTGCAGAAATCATTAACATCTGCACAGCTTATGCACCTCCTGTCCAGGATAAAAAACCCTCCAGGGGCTTGAGTGGAGAGAGGGCTGAGGCTGTTCCCTACTCTGGCCATGTGTTCCTCACCACTGTTACCCGTGCTCACAAGGAAGACAGGAGTGGGTTCCCAAGAAGCTAGGATGTCCAGCACGGGGCAGCATCCTTTGTGATTTATGAGACATTCCCCCACCCCAAAAGAAACCCCATCTGCAGCCACTAGGGCATCAGGTCTGCAGGAGGTCCAGCCATCACTGATCCAAGTGCTCTCCAGCCTCCAGAGCATGTTCTCACTTCTTCCTGAAGGCAGATGGATCCAGCTGTCCCCAGGTGGGATGAGCTGTGCCACTCTGGCTGCTGGGTCAGCTCTGGAAGCATTGGAGCCCCAGCCAGGAACACAACCAGCCTTCCACACTCCATCACTGCCTGCCAGCCTAACCCTGCAGCACGTGCTCTGGGCCCCTCCAGCCCACACACCTGGAGTCACTTCCTCAGTGAGACAGGGGAGCCTGGACCTGTCCAGTGAGACCAAATGCCTTCAACCTTTGCTGCCAGTTCAGCATTGCTTTGGAAGACCTTTCTGTGCAGCTGAACTGAGGTTCTGTAGGAAGCCCACTAGGACAAAAGTGACTTTCACCCCCTCTTCCCACCTCAGATGGGACACCAGAGACCATGCACACTAGACCAGCATGACACAGACTTCCCTTATCACCAAGGACACCAACTCAAAATGAGAGCTGTGGTGAAAAGCAATGTTCCCAGTTCCTTCTGTCACTCTCCTTTGGCAATTCAGTTTCATTTATCTCAGTTATTTCTACCCAGGGGTATCATTTGCCAGCCCAACACAAAGGGCCCAATTCAGCTTTGAGACCTGGGCTCAGCCAGCAGCAGAAGTCACCAGAGAGCAGAGTCATGTTACCTACTGCCACTGCTGAACAGCCTCAGTAGAAGGATCTTGCCAAACATCACTGAGAACCAAAACAGGACCAGAGCATCCCCTGGCCACCAGGTCACAACTTTATTCCTGCCCTGCAGGAGCAGCAGACAGCTTGTACCTACCAGGACAAGGGTTGTGAGAGCAGAGCTCAGGGTTTCTCCAGGAGCAAGAAGCAGCACAGAACTGGTGAAGGCTGAAGGGAATGCTATATCCATCTGGGATAGCTGAGGGACACGTGCCCAGGGATCCAACAGCCCCTGGCAGCATTGGATGAGAGCAGGTTGTGTGACACTGCCCACACCTAGGACCCCTTGCAGTTCAACTGGAAGGTAACTGGAGAGTCCCCTGGCATCCCAGCTCTGCTCCAGAAAGGAAGAAGCAACAGGAGAGCATTTCAAAGGCATTCCACCCTCCTCATTGTATTCCAGCTGGGCTGCCCCTGAGATAAGGCAAATACTCACAATAGCACACAGGAATTCAGTCCCCAGGGCCAGTGACTCAGACTCAGGCTGAAGTTCCTCTTAGAGCCCTTTGGTACAGCTCCCATTTTAAGGGGCATGTTCTATGAATAGGAACTGCTTAAAAATAAGCCCCAGCCTCTCCCCACCAGCTCCTGCCCTGAACAGCCTTTCTTGGGCAGAGACACTTTACTAAGCCAATCAATTCATCCTCACGAGGTCCCTGCCAACCTGCAAGGCAACCTGAGGAAAGCAAGATCCTTCCTCCCTCTCCAAAAAGGCATCTCCAAGCACAAGGCCAAGCTCTCACTGGGCCATTTAAGTGCCTGCTGGGGCTGGGCAGGGGCTGAGGGATGGGAGAAGCAGGCACCTGCTCCCCAGCAGGCTCAATTCCTGCGCTGTGCCGCATTAGAGGGTAAAACTAGGTTGAAACTAATCTGTGCTGGATTAGGCTTGCCACCTGGATGCACGAGGCTGAACAATGTGATTGTCGTTCCCCAGGAAGAGGGGGAACAGCCAAGAGGGGATCCCGGAGGAGCATTTCAAGCTGGAAGAGAGAATTCAGCAGTAGGACTGGGCTGTCCTTAGGCAGCACGTGTGCACTGAGTCCACTGCCTGCCAAAGACCCTTCTCCCAGAGAGCTCTGGGGTAGAAACCAGCCAGGAAAACAGGGCTGGGAGGGAGCTGAGTGTTAGGATGAGACAATGAGATTAAGCCTGATAGGAACTTGGCTTGATAGGTTTTATCAGGAGCACTTTGCTGTTTTGCAGCCCTGGAGCCTCTTCAGATCTTGGGAAACCCCCTCCATGGCTCCAACCACAATATCAACCCAGGTTTTTGTATCAGCTCCATGTCAGAGGGAGGTGTGAGCTGCTTCACTGCATGCCTGCTCACATCAAACACCCCCACTGCCCCCACGCAGAGCTGGCAGAGCCAGCAGAGCACAGCAGTGCAGGGTTTGCTGCCCGGAGCCACTAACTGCAGTGCAAGGGCTGCTCAGGAGCTGGTGGC